CCGGCGAGGCGGTGCTGCTCTGTCTGGAGGAGCTGAGAACAGAGGGGATTGCATTTCCTCTCAAGTAGGGGTGGGTGCGGGAAAGAGGGGTTCCGGGTGGAGGAGCGCATAATAGCCGGGTCTGCCTGCCTCTGACCGAGCTCTGGACGCAGGCGGCGGCTGGCGCAGAGCGGCGATGGGGCGACTCGGAGGCACCCTGCTGTGCCTGCTGCTGGCCGCGGCGGTCCCCACAGCCCCCGCGCCGGCTCCGACGACTTCGGCTCCTCTCGGGCCTGGCCCGGCTCTCAGCTACCCTCAGGAGGAGGCCACCCTCAACGAGATGTTCCGCGAGGTTGAGGAACTGATGGAGGACACGCAGCATAAACTGCGCAGCGCGGTGGAGGAGGTGGGTGAGCTGGGAAGCTTAAGAGTGGGGTCTGCGGAGGCTGGAGGGAACCCTGCTCAAGCGCTGGCCAGGTCCTTGGTCTCCAGAAAGGGCTGGGAAAGGCAGGCAGATTGGGAGTGGTCTGAAGGCAACTCAGGGTGAGCCCACCTCCCACAAAAAAAAGCATGCCTTCCCGGCAAACTGGATGTGGTGGCCTGTCCACCGCCGACCAGAGTCACCCTCTGCCCACCACACCCTGCAACCGGTGTGAGTGTGCATTAACCTGGTGCTGTAAGGACACTTGCAAGGTCCCTGGTATTCCACAGTTTGGAGGCCCAGGAAACTTCAGGCACCTCATGTTCTAGCTTGTTTGCTGGACTTTGAACTTGGGCCATCTTCCCAAGACAACAGTCAGGATGCTTGCTGTGTGGGGACAAAGAGACAAAGAGCTTTGAACTTGCTGGCAATCTGGCTGGCTTCCCAAATTCCAGGTGGAAGCAGAGAGGGCAAATCAGAGTCCTGAATCCCCTTGTGAATGATCAGAGTGGTGGGTAGGAGGAGGAGGGTAAAACTGAGATGCAATCCCATCTTCACTCCAAGGAGTCAGTCGGTCCTGGATTCAGAGTCCTCCCCTGCCACTCATAGTCATGGAGACATGGGGAACCCCTTAACACCCTGTAACTCAGGTTCCTGTGAGAAGTGAATGTGATCATTGTCAGATACCAGATAGCTTGGTAGCTTTGCACAGCTGCTTTACCCCTCACATGCAGGTCCAAACTTTGTGGATGATTCCTGGTCTGTCCTCAGTGGTGGGACCTAAACATTGCCAGGGAGGCCTGGCTGGAGGCAAAGCTGGCTCAGCTCTCTCAGTCCAGAAGTGGAGCTATACCCGGCCCCTGGGGTGGATGGGACAGTTGAAACCAGTTCCAACTGCATCCTGTCCTTGGAGTAAAGCCAGCTGTGCCACCCAAGGAGTCAACAAAAGGCCAGATATGCAGGCTGGAGATGAGCTGTTTCCACCTCTCCATCAGCCTGGAAGTCCCTTTGGGCAAAGCCACCAGTGCTGGCACTTGTCTTCTAGGAGAGGTTGAGTCCCTGTCCCCACTGTGTATTTTGGGGCTGTACCCTCCTTCTTTCCAAGAACAGTCAAGCCAAGAGAGTTTGCAGTAAAGGACACCCTGGAATAGGAGACAGTTGCATAGGTGGCTGTACCTGAGCATTCCTGGGACAGGCAAGATTCCAAACCCAAGTATTTCTATTTCCTGTGATAGCAAAGGAATCACGATCTGCAACAATTAAAGGGGGGAGGGGAGTCAGATAGGCCCCAAGGTCTCTTAACGTTACATGTACAAAAGAAGTTGTGCTTGTGACCCTTCTGCTCCCAGGACAGGTTATCTGCTTTCCTTATCTCAGTTTCCTCTCTGGGATTTGCAGGCAGTCTTCATGTTTTCATTCAGTGGGAAGGTGCCCAGGTGGCACAGGGCGCTGATGGTAACTCCTGGAGAGGGAGATGAGGGGATACAGGCAGCTCCTCAGTCTTCTCATTGGTCAGAGCAGTTTAGTGGCCAGTGAGGCCCCTCCCTGCCCAGTGGCAGTGTCCCCTTGGAGCACAGCTGTCCAGTTTGGCTCTGCCAGGGCCCAGCTTCCTCCCTCCAGATGGAACTCTGCTGGACCTATGCAGATAGACTGGCTGAAGCTTGTCACCAGGGGAGATGTTGACAGTCAACTCCATGCCACCGAGTAGTTGTTTCCCAGAGTATCCTCACTGGGGTGGGGGCAGGATGAGAGAGATCCCAGTATGGAGCCAACTTTCCCCCTCCCATCCCAGGTCTGCCACTTTCTAGTGGTGGGATTCAGGGTTGGGAATGGAAAAATATCTACCCTTCAAGTGAAGAGGACCATGAAGTGAGAGGATGCAAATACAGCACGCCACCTGGTCACCTGAAATGATGTTGTAAAATAGGCGTAATGCAAGTCTCCCTCTCATGAGGGGACTCTAAGGAATACGGGAGATTATATACTAATAAGTAAAGATTAGCATGATCATAATAATAGCTGTGTAAATAATAACAAAGAACCACTAGTGTCTCCTATATAGAATCTCGATAGATTATGACTGTTAGTATTAATTTTTTTTAGAAGCAGAATATTCCTTCAGTCTCACCAACACAGATACTTGCTATTTACTTGTTGTCTCAGATACTTGCTATTTACTTGTTGTCACAGGGCCAGATGCATTGCTTGTTTACATAATTGCATCATAAATCTGCTTTCAAGCAACTTCCTGACATTTTAAGTATTCCAGCTGATTCAAGCTGTTGATTTGCTTCAAGAAAAAGACAAAGTTAACTCTAGTTGGACCATTCATGGGGGAAGCAAATCTTTAAATGGTTCAATCTGGTTTTATGATTCTATGTGGTACAGATCATGTAATTTAAGGATAAAACAGCTTTCTTCCCCTCCTCCCCTCTCCACATTCACTCATTACCACTTGTATAACTGGGCTATTTTACAATGTTCTTATCCTCTCACCTGTTCCTAAGAACTCCAATAGCAAGCCTAGATTTATTTCTCCATTTTTTCCAACCATGCCCCTTTAACAGACCCACAGATTCAACCAACTCTAAATGCCATTTTTAAACATTCACATTCCTCCTCTATGAAATAACTCCTATTGCTTCAGGCTTAAGTTTCTCTTGCTAGTGGAAGTAATAGTTGTGGTTGAAATTTCCATTGTAAACTGTACTTCTGGTTCATGGTGCCATTAAAGAAGTTAGCTCAGTCTATTGAAGTAACAACTGGCTTTGACGGAGAAAGCTTTAGAAAAAGACTGTCTGCTCAAAGCAAGGCAAACTCTAGCCTGGATGCTTTGTCTACTGCTATTTAAAACCCAAATGGGAAGATTTAGATTCCAGTGGGAATTTTACAGTCATAAACCGATTCCTTTCCTCTGCTCATGTCACCAGGTTCCTATACTTTTCCAGCCGTATATTCCCTGTCACTGAACACACAGGATCTCTTGCTTACCAAAAAGCAAACAAAAAACGCACAAGTCTTCTTTCCTTGTCCTTCCTGCCTCCTGTCATGCACTCTTTCATGTCTTCTCCATTTTGTTGGCAATTCTTCGAACACATGACATCTCCTGCCTGCTCTTTCCATGTCTACCCAAACATACCCTGGCAATCCAGTGCTTCTAGAACTGCTCTCTTAAGGGACATTATTATGAAAGTAGCAGTAGATTATATATTTGCTGGGTGGCAGAAACCATCCCGAGCACTCCACTTCACAAACAAGGGGCTGAAGTTTAGAGACATATGGTATCTTGGTTCCACGTCTGCTTCATGCCAGATCTGGGACGTGCCCCACCTCGCCTGATTCCAAAGCCTGGCACTTTGTACAGTGCAGATGTTGCCAGACAACCTGTTCCCTAACGCAGTGGCCAGCTCTCAGTGGCTTGGTCCTTCTAGAGATACAAGGAGCGATTCTCAATGGGAGGCCCTTCCCCAGATATCATTTCTATTCTTGGACCTGGTTCTAGCCAGTCTCTTAACTCTTTTTTTTCTTTCTTTCTTTAAACTCTACATTATAGTTGGTCCTTGAACAACTTGGGGGGAGGGGCATGAGGGGTGCAGATCTTCATTGCTTTCAAAATTCTATTTACAACTTATAGCTGACCTCTTATACACCCAAGGATTTAACCAGTCAACTTTGGGGTTGGTTGGTTGAATCTGCGGATGCAGAACTGTGGCTAAAAAAGATCTGGTGTACCCCATCATCCTCTAGGGTCATATGTATTTCCCAACTAATCTTCAGAATATGCTGCTTCTCTCCATTTCCTGGAGCAGAGGTTCTCCGGGATGGGGAGTGGGGGGGGGGTGGCAAATAGTGGGAAGGGAATACTTCAGAATCACCTGAGAAGCTCACTGATAGCCTGATAGCTGGGGGGTGGGGGTGGGGGTGTGGGTGGGGTCCCACCCCAAGAAATTCTAGCTTGGCAGATCTGGGTAGGGATTCAGATGATATGGTGATAAATATAGTCAGACCTATAACTACAGATATAGATGTATAGGTATAGAGATAGGGATAGAGATAACAGATTTTTTTTTTAAATTTTAAAATATATTAGTTGTGACTCTGCTATACTTTCCCGGCTAAGAACCAGGTCGGTATCCGCTGCCTTAGAACTTCCCCCCTGAACCTGCGTGCTGGCCTTTCTCCTGACAGGCACATGCAGGTCTTCTGATCACTTCCTCTGGTGCCCTGCATGGACCTTCTGCCCTGGCCCAGGGCACGTGCCCATTCTTGTCCAGGCTGCCCTGACTTGTCCTCTTGCTCTTCTCTCTCTATTCATGTGTACCCCATTCTCTGAGACCAGCCCAATCCTGCCTCCTCCCCCTTCTGAAAACCTTTTTGTCTGTTCTGTGCAGCCCAGGCTTGCTTCTAAAGACTATAATAATTGTCCTGAAAATGGTTTGTGTGGGACTCTCCTGTCTCCCCAGGAGTGCAGAACCCCACAAGGGCAGCAGAGAGCATATAGCTTGGAGTTAGAATGACCTGAATTCTAATCCCACCTTTGCCTTGTTCTACAAGCAGGGTGACCTCAAGCAGATCTCTTCACCTCTCTCAACCTCCTTTTCTTCATCTGCAAAAGGAGGTCATAACACCTTCCTCTGATGGAGTGCTATGAACTTTCTAGGATACATGGAAGCTTTTGGTGTAAGAGCTCAGTCACAACTGATGTCAACATCAGGGCTACTGTTAATGTTATCATTATTGTTATTCTCAAGCCAGTAATCAAGTTTCATATATCTCAGCAATTATCTCCGGGTCAAACACAATAGTCACTGCCCACGTCCTCTGTTGGTTGTTTAAACCTTTGAGCCTACCAGGCTTTCTTCGGACTTCTGGGTGCATGTTTAGTGCTACATGAAAACATGGGAATTCTTTCCCCTCCAGCTCAGCAAATCTAGTTGGAAGAGGGAGGAAAGGAGGGGTATCTAATATGTAAGGAGATAGAAGACAGTGATTTTTTTTTTCATGGGAAAATCTTTTTGAGGATTAGTCTTAAGAAATAAAAATAGCGCAGAGTCAAAGACACAGTATTAGAGTACTGCCAGCCACCAGCCAGAACTTTTCTTCATGCTTCTCATTTTCAATTCCTAGAGAGAGTATCTTATTGGCTCAACCAGCCCATGATGTGACCTCCTTTTGAGTCCAAAGAGCTGTGCATGTTCTTCTTGTGAACTGCCTACTCATTAAGAGCAGGGTGGGGTGAAAACTCTGAAGGGGTAAACTGGGTGCAGACATGAGCTGAGTGACCGTTCTGGTATAGAAGTCACAGAGGCTCAAGAGACTGAGGATTTATGGACAGTAGCCTCTGAGACCTGACACCAGAGAAGGACACATATGCCAGGGGAGTGGAAAGAAGGGGTCCCCAGAAACTAGTTTAGTGTCTTTCCACAGTACCAGGGTCCCTCTTATACCCAAGAGGTAGGGAAGAAGACATAGCTGTGTCCTTACCTGCAAGGGGGTAAGGGCTGTCTTAGTTTGGGTCCCCCAACCCCTACACTCTGTAACAAGGATTAGGAACAAGTTGGTTATTGGGGAAGTGATCCCAGAAACACTAGGAGGAGGTGAGATGGACGAGAAGCAAGGCAATAAAGTTACTTCTAGGGGCACCTGGAACCCAACGGGTATCCTCAGAAAGGCTGTCCCATTGAGGTGAGAAGAAGCTTACCCCACACCCTGTCCTTCACCATTCAGGGATTGTTCCTGGTGTGTTAACTCCCTAGCGCTTGAGACCTATTCAGACCGGGCATATTTTTACAGCTAGAAAATACCCTCAGAGGACCTCTCTGGTGGTGCAGGTGTTAAAGTCTCGGTGCTAGCAAGCTGTCTCTAGCCCCAGCCCCAGCAGCAGGGCCCAGCTAACCCTCACATCACAGCAGATCTCTCCTGTCAAGGCTGTTCCCCTCAGCAGTATATCTCAGTAGATCCACCTGTTCTGCTCCCCACTCTGATTCTTGTGAATCCCCTCACCCCTGCCCAGTTCCTGTATGCATAAATAAATAAAACAAATCTTTTTAAAAAGAAAATATATTCAGAGAGAGAGAGAGAGAGTGTTGGCTGTTAACTTGGGAACTGAATGCAGATGATTTGATATTAGTCCATAGAGAGATGGGCGTGACCCTCTCAGCTTTTGTATGGAGCCAAGATTATTCAATGGAGGGGTTCTGATCCCAGCTCTGCCCTTCACTGAGAGTCTTGGGTAGGTATCCAGTCTCCCTGAGGCTGTTTTCCCTTTTGTAGAAAGGGAACCTTCAGCACTCAGAGAGAGGTTTGAGGTCTGAGACTCCAGCAAATGTCAGACTTTTAGTTGACTCCAAGGGCGTGCTCAGTGAAGGATCCCTAACTTTACCACCATTGTTTGTAACTGCAGAAGAGAAGCGGTACTTATTTCTGGTAGGCTCTGATTTATGTTAAGAGAAAACACTTTTACTCACTAAGTTAATTCATTCAATAGATGGAGGCAGAAGAAGCTGCTGCTAAAACATCGTCAGAAGTGGAGCTCGCAAGGTTACCTCCCAGCTACCACAATGAGACCAACGCGGAGACGAAGGTTGGCAATAACACGATCCACGTGCACCGGGAAATTCACAAGGTGAGGGCGGTCCTGGCTGGCATGCTCTCCTTTCTGTAGTGCCCAACTCCCCTGGTGAACTGAGGTCTTGTTTACATGTTTGATACACAAGCAGAAGCACAAACAAGGATGGCAAAATCAGGATTAAATACCAAAGAAATGTGAGGGAGCTGTTTAAAGGGAAAAGATGTGCATCAAAAACCTAAATTCACTTTTGCATTGAAGCAATAAATTTAACTTCAAGTTCTTGCCAAGCCAATTGCAAAGGAATACTGGGGGTTTTTTTCACTTGAAAATAAGGAAGCAAGCCATTTTCCTAGTATTGAATTTGGGGTACTCCATGGCCAAGGTTTCATATGTGCATCCATTGAGTGTTGAAATACACACACATTATGTAACTAGATCTTCACCGTCTTCTTAAAAGACACTCAAGTGTGACATTTTCCGAAGACATTGCCACAAGATGAAATATTCGTTTCCTGGTTTTCCATTCAAACTTCTGTGGCAAATTTCTTCCCGCCCTACGACATACCTAGATGTCTCTCCATTACTATCTTCATGAGAAGCAGGCATGTTTGTCCCTGATCTGAGTTGAGGAAGACAACATGGTAAATCTAGAGGAATGGAGCCTTAGCCTTCCTGGGTAGTAGTTGTCTCCAGAGGGATTTTGGCATCAGTTTGAAAGCAACCCAGGAAGTCGGTATTTTCTCAAAGTGAATCTGCTGTGTGTGTGTTCACAAAGGGCCGTGGCAATGACATTCTGTTGTGAGCACAAAGGAGCTTGACCACTGGTCCCCTCTCAACTCCTGTAAACAAGGCCATGGCGGCTCTCGCTAGGGGGCTTACTCCCAGTAGGGCCACGCTCAGGTAGAGAATGAGCTGACTGGCACAACAGCACCTTGGCGCCGTAGAGCAGCAGGGGCCAATGTTCACGAGCAGTCACTTTGGGGGAAGCAGCCTCGCTGTGGCCTTTCTCCCAGTGCGTGCTGATGGGCCCCACTTCAGAGGCCCTCTCTTCCCCACCACCCACACTCCCCAAGATAAATGAGTGAGTCACCGTCTGAACAGAACTGCCTGGTGGTGTCGATCTGAAGACTGAGATGGTTTCAAAAATGATTATCTTATTGTTGTCAAGACCAACATTAAGTCATCCTTTCCTGACCAGAATTAGCCAGCAGGTTTGGTTGCTGCTCACAGTTGCTCCTCAAAGGTGTCAGAATACCCAGTGTGGGTCCTACCCGTAATGGGATTTTGCAGAATTATTTAGATGCTATGACCCTCACCAACCATATTTATGAAGTAGCTTAGCAACATCTACACTACAATCTTATGAGGATCAGATAGTCTAGATCTTATGAGCGCTTACTGCCAACTTAAAGTGCTGTACAGAAGCAAGTTGATCTTATTGCTACTCTGCTGGAATAACAAAGTTCCATAATCAGCACAGTTCAGTGCCTTGCAAGTGGGTTCCCTGGAGCACCTGGAGTGATGAAACATATTTGACAATTTTGCATCTATTTGTCCTCCTAGAGATATAAAGATACACATTCGTGTGATAAAGTCTCTGAGAAGGTCTACAAGGGGATGTATAATACTTTAGAGTTCTTTTAAATACAGCATCGGTTAATCCTATAAAACTCTAGTGTGGCATATGGAAACAATCTCTCTGTCCTGAGGAGATGAATTATTTAGAAAAAATGTTTAATTATGTTGATGAAGATGTGACCCTTACCGCCTCAGAACTGGGACCTGATCCATGGCTGCAAATGAGGCTGAGTTTCCACGTTGTCTGGGTGTAGGTTCCTGAGATACTAGAGTTGGCAGGAACTTTAAAGATGACCTACAACGGAGGAAATTATGAATCAGAGAATAGAAATGAATTTTTCCAGATTACATCCTAGATGACTGTTTTGGCAGGTCAGTTTAAAGAACACAGCTCTGGGCCATCATTCTTTCTACTATGCATCAACCCAGATATGATCACTTCTGATGGGGCATGCACAGCCTGGGTGCCATGTCTGGACTCTCAGGCTCAGTTTTTGTTTTTTGGTTTTTTTTTTTTTATGCATACAGAACAGGGGTATAGAGATGCAGGAGCAGTGAGAGAATTCACCAGAGACAGAGTTGGGAGTGGAACAGGCAGATTGAGGAAGTACACTGCTCTAGGGAGCAGCAGGTGAGACAGGAGAGGACTGCCACGCCATGTGGGTCACCTTCCTGATGGAGGATCGAACTCGTGCTCCAGTGGCTGCTGATAGCTTCACAGTGCTGCGTTTTAACCTGCTGTGCCACCAGGGAGGGCCCCAGTGTCAGCTTTGAGACACCTGCTACTGATTACAGAATCAGAGGCAGAGTATGTGCCAGAGGAGTGTTGTACCAAGTCTCCCACTGGGCTAAAGCCCTTGATAAAACAAAATTCACTAGAATCAGGTCTGAGGCCGCTGTCGCTAAAACTTGCTTATCATGAAAGATATCCACTGAGACTCCCAGACCTGTCATCATGGAAAAGAAAGTTGACACTGGGTTTCATGTGATGAGCTCAAAAGTAATAAAAATAGCTGATGTCGAGTATTTGCTAGGTAACAGGCTCTGTGCTCAGTGTTCTCTGTACACCACCTCATCCTTCTCCATTGTGGCCCATTGGTGGAATCCATCATAGCTCCTGTTACTGCGTGGAGGGGCTGCCCGCAGAGAGCTGCTGGTGGGGCTCAGCGAGGGTGGAGCGGGCATTCTGTTGACTTTGCTGGATGCCCCAGATTTCAAAAATGAAATTAAACAAAACTCGAGTGATAGCGCCATAATTCCTTTTATTTCACATGCGCCCTTCTTGTTCTAACAATAGGTCACCAACAACCAGACTGGACAAACGGTCTTTTCAGAAACAGTCATTACGTCTGTGGGAGATGAAGAAGGCAAAAGGAACCACGTGAGTTGTCGTTCCCCTTCACTGATACACCAAGGCATAGGCACCTTCGTTTAGGCTGTCAAGGGTGACCCAGTCTTTAGACCTTAGGCAGGAGAAAACTGACTCTCACATGCCTCTCCTGCCTCATTTCTACCAGGATTCTCCAGTGTCTATATTCCTGACTGACCGATGTGGTTAGGTTCCACCTGTATGTATTTGCATCAGTTGTTGGGCTCCGTGACCTTGAAAGGAGAACAAGTTGGCCCCCAGGGACATTGACTGGGGACCTGGTGCTTGAGGCCATGAAATCCCCTAAAGCATGGTGCACACCTTTAAAACTCAAGCCAGATCAGGCAGTTTGGGAGCAAGAAAACGGTCAGTGGAACCTGATGGCCTAAGGAAAAGTGTGCCCTCCCCCCCAGGTTTCATGTTCTGGCCCCCGTATGGATCATATCTGCTGCCTGCTGCCTAGTTCAGATTTGGGGTGGCCTTTATAAAATTATATAGTCCTAAAGTTGGGAGGGGCCGTCATTTCACAGAAGGGAGAACATGAGCACAGGTCTGGTGCCAAGGAGTCATTGGTTCCCAGACTCCCAGGTCAGAGGTGACTCCCTTGTACCTCATCTTCTCAAAGAGACAGCTAGCTGCAGACACAGATGCCTGATGGGTCGGGGCCAGGTGCCTGCCACACACGTGGTCACTGCCAGTACCAGCCTCCATGGACCAGGCACCTTATGCAAGTCTCCCCTCTCAGGTGCAGTATGTGCCCCTCGTCTTCAGGAGGGCCTCATCCCAGAGAGAAAAACTCACTGTCCCTAATAGTGAGGGAGGTGGTGCTGATGTAGGTTGCTGGTGTTTGGCACATACCCAGAAGTTTCCTGTAAGCTGGGGGTCCCATCAGCTGTGTGTCGTGATGGTGACCATTCAAGGGACCATGGTGGCAGTGGAAGGTGTAGGGTGTAGAGCTCTGGGCTGGAAGAGCTCTGGGCTGGAAGCATGAGACCCTGAGGCGTGGGTCACGTGGGATTCCTACCTTCAGACAAGGTCATCTCTCCAAACTCTCCATCCACAGCCTGTGAAACTTGGGGATTTAGTTAAGATCAAGAAGAGAGACCACACTCAAAGGTAACAAGAGAGAGGGAAGTGAAACTAAAACAGTCTGAGGATACACGAGAGAGAAACTTTCGAGTATCCGGATGCAAGCCCCCATTTTCAGCCCCGTGAGAAGGGCCTGAGCAGGAGCTACTGAATAGAAAGCTTGGGGAAGTAGAACTCTCAGGGCTATGAATGAGGGGAGAAAGAAAGCCATTGTTCTCTCTCACACACCCAAGTGTATTATATACCTGCCCCCTGGGAACTTCCCAGAGTCTGGACAGCACAGCCTTGGCAGTGAGCCCACCTGCACCTGCTAGAGGCCCAGGTACAAATGTGGCCTGCAGCAGGATCACGCCACGCTCCCCTGTCACTGCCCAGTGTCAGGTCTGAGGCCTGTGGTGGCGGATCGAAGCTCTGAGCCTGCTGGGGACATGAGAGACAAGACTTAAAATAGGCCAAGAGTGTGCTTGGCCAGGAGCAGCTGCCTGCACTCATGCATGGTAGCCAGTGAGTTTATGCCGCTCTCCTGGGTGAGCACAGCCCGTGTACCAATGCCTGTCCATGCTGTGGTTCAGCTGGGAGGCCCAGAGCCCCCTCCCTGACACACAGTCCTTGTCCATCATGTGATGGAGACATACACGTGCTGCCGTGCGTAGGGCATAATCGTAGCCCCGCGTACCACAGACCTAAGGGTGCAGGAGGTTAGTAGAGGGGAGATTATCAAGGAAACTTGGCAGGTAGAGACTCAAATGTGTTTTCATGATTCCTGCTCAAGACCCATTGAGTGTCTCTATGAGAATCAGTTGCAATCTGATTAGTTAGAAGGGAGCGTTGAAGCATCTGATCCTTGTCCTGCCAAAGCCTGAGAAATCCTAAGTTCTTTAGACAACAGACTGGAGGCTTTTCAGGTCACCTGGGAAAGGGACATCTGGTGGCAGAAATGGCAGGGTGTTACCTTCTGACAGAAACTCACTGGTTGTCAGGAGAAGTGAGAGCTGCTTTCAGATGCTCACAGAATTTCCCATACAACTCCCTGTATTGCTCCTGGCTTACCATTATCTGAACCAATTGAACTGGGGCTCAAGAATCTTTATTGAGGCATTTTCCTCCCTTTACCAAGAAGGAAACTGTAAAGACTGTTTGCCTTCAAAGGAATGCAAAAGGTCAGACATTGTCACACCGTCCTGTTCCATGGTTTTGTTAACTGACTAAGGTTTACAACTGGGTCTGCAGTGCATTTCATACTGAAGAAACTTGCTCTTAACAGGAGACGGGAGAGTTGCCATTCAAAAGACAAAATCATATGCTGATCTTAACTTTAAAATATTGTAAACAGGGACTAAGCATTCAGAATGTAAAATTCCCAGATGAATTCGATTAAAAATCATCACCAACACCAGGCATTTTCCTTTCCTCAAATGCTGTTGTGTGTATTAATATGTATGGTAACCTGAGGAGGCTCATGGAAAGTTACAGACAGTAATACTATATGCCTGTCTAGAAAATTTAGCACAGTGTGTGCAAGGTATTGGTCTGTTTTTACATTCAAGTCTGAAAAGACATTGAGGTTTGTTATTGTACCCAAATGAGAACACTGTGACGCTAATGAGGGCTGACCTCTGAGGCTTTTGTGTCTCTTTACTGGCTGGGATTGGACTGACGCGGCGCCACTTTTGTGCAGGCGGTTAGGGAGAAAGCAGTGTGCTGGGAGATAGGAGGGCAGACAAGCCATTGTGTGCAAATGGGTAGCTTTTATTTATAGTGCCGTATCCCCAGATATGATGGAATGACCCAGTTAGCCAAAGCACCATTTCATGTTCAAAGGGACACATCCTAAACTCACAGCCACAAAGCTTAGCCAACCATGCACTTGCTGTCTATTCTATTTTCACAGGTGACTTTAAAAAGTAGGTTTATTTTTTTGAACACACCTAATCTGAACGTAACAGATTCAGTCATTTATGACCGACTCCAGGATATTGGTCAAGGCTTCAGCGACAACAGGCAGATTTCTCTACTGAGAAACAACCAGAGTAGTGGCTCGAACCAGAGTAATGACTTCCTTGGTTTGGACATGACCAGAGTGGACAGTGCCTTTTGACAGCAGACCAGGACAAGGACAATGGAATTCTCTGCAAATGCGTACCAAATGTCTGTTGTGAGGATACTTTGTCTGTTACTTGTGTTCAAGTCTAGGGGAACTGACTAAGTCACAGCTGAATTTCGGAAAGTGTGTTTGTTTCCCGTAGAACTGTAAACCTCCCATCACTTCAAGGCCAGAGGGACCCAACAGGGTGCAGGAGGAAAAAGGGTGTTGAATGGCCTCCTTCTCCATCAGGTCTCAGTTACTTCCTGGCCCCAACTTGTTTTACAATGGGCTAAACACAGGTGGGGTGCCAGCTTTGTCTCCTCCCTGTGCCCTGATTGCTGATGCTGGCATTTTTCAATTTAAGGAAATTGCAGAGGTCACCATGATGACAAGTCATGGGCTTATCTGAATGGAAATGGTATTTCCATAGGAAATGACATGGAATGCCATGCCATGGAATGGAAAGGGCATGGATCTTCAGTTCCCAAGGCCTTGTCCCCTGCAAAGCCTTGCTGGGGGGGTGGCCATTTCCCAGGAAATCAACTCACTCCTTCCCTGACAGTCTCCAGGCAGAAGGAAGAAATCTGAACTAAGTGTGAGACTCACCTGACTTCAAACCCTGCCCTTGCCCCTGACAAGTCCTGTCCTTTATCAAATGGAGTTGATCATCCCCTTCCTTTCCCCTTGCAAAAATAAAACCAGTAAGGCCAGGCAGGAACAACTCTTGGTGTAAGCCTCATTATTATGGAAGATAATTAAAACTGGGTTCTAACTGACACCTTTCCTGGCTCCCAGAAACCTACTGCAAATAAAATAGTTTGCCTGGAAGCGGAGGATGCTGTAAGGCCCCCTCCGGCCTCTTCCTATTGACACACAGCAGCAGCCTCTCTAGCGCCTGCCTGGCCCTCTGAGTCACGCGCTTTGCCAGAAGCTCTGTGCTCCTGACACAGGATTGACTCACCCTGCTGTTCTCGTGCTTGCGAGTCATAGGAGCTGGGTTTGGATGACAGGGCTGGCAACAGAAGGGAGGATGGGCCGTCATGATGGAGAATTGGTGATGGACAGGTGCTGGCAGCTTCCCGGATGGGGCAGGCTGTGCACCTGTGTACCCGTTTCTGTAGAAAACAACAGACGAAGGGCTCTGAAGTAATGACATAGTCCTGCAGTTCCACAGCCCTATTGCCAGACATTTGGGTACATTTTTGTGTTTAGATTGATATTTTGATTCAATTGTGATTTCTGACCCTCTTCTTGGCCCTTAACCTAGTACGGCAATATTCAGTGAAAATCAAAGAACTCTGATCATTGGGAGAAATGAATAAATAAGCCCAAATAAATAGTTGATGAAGATGAGGAATTTTTAAAATCATATTTATTACCTATTTGTATTTTAATTGAGGTAACATCAGTTTGTATTTTATAAATATACTTCATTTCTGCGATGTTAAAGGTGAGCAGTTTTTAAGAAGTAGGCATTTCTTTTTGAGCATAACCCCTAACTATATTAATTAGCTTTCAAAAGGAATTCACAGAATATGAATATTCTATATTCAGAATCACCATACTATGAAGTTAATAAATGAGTTTAATTTAGGTTTCATGTAAGCTGGTGTAGATATATGTCCTCTAAAAAATATGAAGTAGGAAAATAAGCAATTGCAGAACAGTATATATAATATGCAAAACGTGTTTCTATATTCAATACATTTTGCTTGAGAAAACTAAGCCTTTTAAAGCTTGGCAAAATAGCTATTAAATCATTAATCATAGATATCTTTGGAGGAACTGAAATTTACAGATACTTTTCCTTTGTAGGTTTCTATGTTTTTTTTTAATG